AATGAAGATCAAAAATGGAACAAGTTATGGAATATAAATTTTTGCTGACAGATTTCATACACACCGTATGTCTTCAGTTTTGGTTCTCTCAGATTAAAGTTGGTTCCAATATCATCAGTTCCTTCATACACATGCACAGTGTATGTTGTGTTGCCAGGTGAGGGATCTGCTACACTCCAGGACAATTTTAAACTTTTGGCCTCTATATTTGTTGCAGTTATCTGTCCAGGTTTTTTTGGAACTATATAATATTAGGATTGAGTTAGAGGTAAAAAGGTTTAAAACATAATAACAAGCTAAATAAAAGGTAACAAGCTATTTAAGAAAACTTTCGAAGTCTATGCAAGATAAACAAGAGGCCCATGGGCCACATCGCTCATCTGAGCACTTTGGCTTGGAGTTTTTTTTTTGTTTGTTTGTATGTTGTTTAACGTCCCTCTCGAGAATTTTTCACTCATATGGAGACACCACCACTTGCTGGTGTAGAGCAGCAAATTTTGTCCTATACTCGGCACTTACGGCCATTGAGCAGTGAGGGATCTTTTTCATGCCAGCACCTACTGCGACATGGGACCTCGGTTTATATGGTCTCATCAGAAGGACCGGTCTCCACGTCCCACAGTGGGATTCGAACCCATGACGTAAGGATCAACTCCTTTCTCCGCGACTCTAGAGCAGACGCTCTAACCACTGCACCACGCAGGCGACCGCTAGGAGTTCATACTGAAAAGTTTAAATTCATAAGTGGTCTCGGCCTATTATTAAGGGTAGGGGGGCATGATTTGAAAAAAACTTGAACCTACACTAATTGATGATGCTTCCATATTTCTTTGATTTTTTTAAAGATTTTTTTCCTATAAGTTTCATCTTCTATCGTGGCCCCGCACAACCCCAGGGATCATGATTTGAACAAACTTGAATATATACTACCTGACGATGCTTCAGTATAAATATGACTAATCATGGCTCTGTTTTTCTTAAGAAGGAGATTTTTAATGATCTTTCCTATATTCCTAGTTAAACTTTGATGGCCTGTTGTGTCCCCTCCCTACCCAAGGGGATCATGATTCGAACAAATCTGAATCTACATCGATTATCTGGGGATGCTTCTACAGCTTTCCTGTTCTTGAGAAGAAGATTTACATAAGATTTGCCTTTTTAAAACTTTGTAACACTACCTGAAGACTTCTCCACTTTAAAAATTTGATTGTCCATTGTGGCCCCGCCCTACCCCTGGTGGTCATGATTTTAACAAACTTGAATCTACACTACCTGAGGATGTTTCCATAAAAATATGACCAATCATGGGTTTGCTGTTCTTGAAATGAGGATTTTTAAAGATTTTTCCTATGTATTCCTATGTAAAACTTCAATCATTCTTTGTAGCCCTGTCCTCACCCCTGGGGTCATGATTTGAAGAAAGTTAAATATACATTTAACCTGAGAATGCATCCACATAAGTTTCAAATTTCCTGGCCCAGTGCTACTTGAGAAGAAGATTTTTAAAAGATGCCATTAATGTTACACTAATTTGAATTTATCTCACCTTGGAAGAAGGCATGGCCCTTCATTTGATCAAATTTGAATCCCCTTTACTCAAGGATGGGATCAAATGCTGGTATGGGTATCGAGGGATGCCACTAAGTGTCACTAGGTGTCATCACTAAAACCTTCCGATTTTCAAAGAATTAATGCATTTTCACTATATAATCAATAGAGCCCTGCCCTTACACCAGAATCCCTGACCCTGGGGCCATGAAATTCACAATTTTGGAAGAGGCACTCTTGCTCCTCATAACTACGTACTTACAACATCACAAAACAGACTCTTGTTTGGAACCCACATGGAAAGAGGAGGGTTGGACAACCCAGGCAAACCTGGAAAAGAACCGTGGAAATTGAGGCAAAAGAGGCAGGTTTTACCTTGGTCCAATTGAAAAATATAGCCCAAAACAGAGTCCGCTGGCTTGGTGTGGTTGCAGTCCTATGCTCCCAAGGGGCGAACAGGAATAAGTCATAGTAAGTCAAGTTACCAAGGGATACTTTATGGCAAGTTTGGTTGAAATTGGACCAGTGGTTCTTGAGAAAAAGTGGAAAATGTTAAAAGTTTACAGATTGACAGACAGACAGACGAAAAACAAAATGTGATCAGACGCTTTCATCTCAGGTGAGCTAACAAGTTTTTTCTCATATTCACACAAGTAAATGATGCTTCCTTGTTTATCTTTTCAATAATTAAGAAATCACTATAACCAACAAAATAATATAATTATTTTAAATTTAACAGAGCTTATTAACTTCCTGTTTTCAATTCTGAAAGATCCATGTATATAGAATTTAAGAGTTAAATCATTCATGTAATTGCTTACTTTCTTCATCAGTCTTCACTGTTGCATTACTAAAGCGTCCTTCTCCATTTCCATTCACTGCTGCTACTTTAACAATGTAGTGGGTGTAAGGTTTTAGATCTGTAGCTGGGTATATCACAGGCTGAGTTATATCAAGTCTTGTTTCATTCTTAAGTTCTGGACAACCAACTGTACTCTTAAAACAATACAATTCAGCAATAAACAAAAATACATAGCTCACTCCAATAAATATCACCTGCAAATGAGGCAAAATCTTTAACCAAATTAAGCCAAATACAGCATCTAAAGCACAAATCCCTAGTATTTAGTACATCATCTATACAAGTTTATCAAGCATGATTTAAAGATGCTTGAAATGACTTGACCCAAAAATCATAATGTAACAACTCATTCAGAAAACAAAAGGCCCAAGGGCCTTGAATCGCTCTTCTGATAAACTGAACAACCTATCACTTCTATTTGAAGCCTCTAAGTATCCTGTATATTTAGATAAAGCCTTGAAATTCCAAACATAGGTCATCATGACCTACATTTTAGATGAAACACTCTGAGAACCCAAGATGATTCTAAGCCAATTAGTACCTGAGAGTAGCTCATCAGGTCACCAACCTATCACTTGTCATTCTCTGAGGACCCAAGATGCATCAACTAACTAAGTTTGATAATTCTAAGCCAATTAATACCTAAAATATTTAATTATAACCATAAAATTTTAAAAGTAGGTAACAGTGACTGTCACATTAAAATCTACATCAATATGAATGGTCTATATTCGAACACACAAGCAAAATTCTATTCCCCTGTGGTGAGCCTCCGTTTTTCACTATGTACATATTCAACCCCTTTTATGCCTCAAATCATTGGACCTTTAAAAAGTAATGTTAAGTCCGTGCGGCAGTTGGACACGGCAGTCCTCATAGAGAAGGACGTTCTTATACTTCTCTAGAAATTTTAGTAAATTTTGCAATAGAATGGTCATGGCATACTTCAACACAGTTTACCTGATATTGCTAATATGTATGGTCCCACTTTTCTGAGGTAAGCCTTGTTTTTATTTTTTCATTAAAATATAAATGCTGTAAATATCTTAAAACAACCAATTTCGGAATTTCTCAAAATCATAAGTCAGCCATAACTGTTTTGCTATTTGAGATTAATTATTTTTATATTTTTTTATATTTCTGTACACATTATTTATATGCGTAGTTGGCAAAAAGTGTTTGAGTAATGATTGTATGGTGCCCCGTTCGTGTCTTTCAGTATGTCCTCTGTTCTGTAATATTTGTTATAAAGTGTAAAGTAAAGGTATAATATATTGTAGTAAAGCATCTTTATGCTATTTGTATGCCATATGTACGCCATATGTACATGTGTATGCACTGTATAACTTACAATGTGTAAAGTGTATGTCTACCATGACATTATATTGTGCATGGGTAATTAACAAGTCCTCATCCTGTGTGGTAGATGGCACCAGACACAGTCACATCTAGAGTCTTGGGCGCAAGACATATACCTTTTGTGTGTGTGTAGGCCTCAATGGCAGTAGGACAGGAGGATATATTTCCGTACCAGTCCGGAGACCAATTGTATCGTAATTAAGGACAACCGTCATCGCCGAGTTGAACACTGACAGTCCAGTTTATGTTGTATATTTCGGTTTATTAAATGTAAATGTTTTAAAAGTTGAAAGAAAATTTGTTGTAAATAACCAATTAAAAGGGCAGTTGGGATCAACATCCTGTACGCTTGGTCATTAACATGACAGTGACCTACTTTTCAGATAACATACTTTGAGGACCCAAGATGCATCAACTGACAAAGTTTAATGATTCTAAGCCAATTAGTAGTACCTGATATATTTAAATATAGCCATAAAATTTCAAAACAAAAGGCCCAAGGGCCTTGAATTGCTCTTCTAATAAACTGTACAACCTATCACTTCTATTTGAAGCCTCAAAGTATCCTGTATATTTAGATATACCCTTGATATTCCAATTCACACTCTGAGAACCCAAGATGATTCTAAGCCAATTAGTACCTGAGAGCTGGTCATGGTGACCTACTTATCACTTGTCATTCTCTGAGGACCCATCAACTAAGTTTGATGATTCTAAGCCAATTTAGACCTAAAATTTTTTTAAAATTATAACCATAAAATTTGTAAGTAGGTCAAAGTGACCTACTTCTCAGTTGTTGTACTCCGAGGATCCAAGATACATCAACTGACAAAGTTTGATGATTCCAAGCCAATTAGTACCCAAAATATTTAATTAAAGCCATAAATTTTCAAAAGTAGGTCACGGTGACCTACTTTTCAATCAACCTACTCCGAGGACCCAAGATGCATCAACTGACAAATTTTGATGATTCTAATCAAATATTACCTGAAAATATTAAATACAGCCATAAAATTTCAAAAGCAGGTCATTGTGACCTACTTTTCAGTTGTTGTACTCAGAGGACCCAAGATGCATCAGCTGACAAAGTTTGATGATTCTAAGCCAATTAGTACCCGAAATATTTAATTAAAGCCATAAAGGACAAGGTGCGTTTGGTGCAAAATTCGGCCCCGTGTCAAAATTAAATAATATTCCTCAAAACTCTTTGAGAGAGTATATATTTTCATGAAATTATCAATATATGCATGTACAAAACTTTATTTTTGTTTTATATAGATGTAAAGGTAGCATAGTTTACGCTAACGTTGCGATATTTTGATGCTGCTTCATGCGACGTCATGAACAAGAATTTAACGTCATGTTTTTAAATAAGTCCATCTTACATGTATATTTTATTATGTACGTTAATTAAACCTCATTTTCATAAACGTACATTTCGATGTATTGGTATACATGTGATAGCATATCATGCTTTCTAAATTATTTTTCATAATTAAAGACAAAATCTTTAAATCAATCGGTATGGTTGGCTTTGAAAATTTTTGAATCATAAGGGGAAAAAGGGGTGTAAAGTACATTCTTAGCGGATTTCTCACTTTCCGCGCCTCACATTGGCGCAAGCAAAGTTATTGGCTTTGTTTGTTAACTTGACGAACCGTAATTGCCAAGCTTTGTAAAAAAGACTTAAAGACCGTTTACTTACACTTGTTTCTTGGATTTTGATTGCAGGTGTTCAAGAAAATGATTTTGTGTGTAATAATATGTCAATATGGCTCGCAAGATTTTGGTCTTCCTGCTTATCTGCATCATATTTTCAAAAAAAAAAAAATGAAAGAAAGAAAAAAAACACAGTTTACTTCTCCGTAATTACTTGAGTCTTGACATTGCTTTTCCGTGGATTGATTTACATAAGTTTACCTGTGTCTATATTATAATATTTTATTTGCGCTGTCCAGAGGCAGAGCCCATCCTTGAAAAAAGGAATACATGCGAACCTTCGTTTATTCTTTTCTTTCAGCAGTTTCGGAAACATTCCAACATCGAAGTTTTCAGCTATTAATATCATTTTTTTTTTAAATGCAGCTTGTTCCGACATGATTGAGTATATTAGGATCTACGGGTTATTGAACATACAGCATGTTTTAATTGTTTTATACGTGTTAACCTATACATCTTCACAATGTCAAAGTTCTGTGATATCGTTTCTCTTCAAACCTTTTAAAATAGGAAGGATTTCACAAAACGTTGACATTGTGAAGATGTGTAGGTTAATGCCTAGACGACCTATAATCTACTTCGTCTTTTTACCGATGTTTAAGAGACTTTCACATTAATTCATCCCCCGTGGTAGACAAGGAGCAAAATGTATTACCTGGTTCATAGAGGATTTCGTGGAAAAGAAAAAAAAATTCTAGTACTTCACGGTAAAGAAGGAAATTGTGTAATTGGCAATGTTGACTAGCGGAGAAATGTAACGGCGCAATTGAATTTTCCGGTGATTTTTTTCCAGAAAAGGGAGTGGGGTGTTTCATATCAAGTCAAAAAAAAAAAAGAAAGAAAAAAATCGACACAAAGGAGAAAACCTTATTTAAAAAAGGAAACTTACCCAAACCTGAAAAACCTGTTTTGAAAGGGGGATGTCACTTTACCTTCCTACATATCTTGCAAACTTTACAGTTTTTTTTACCTTACCCCTTCAATTTTTTGGTATTTTACTATATGAATTTTATACAAGTGGTGGGTGTTGGGGTGGTGTCCGGAAATGATAAAGATCACGATAAAATAATACGAAAGAAAAAAACCGCATCGAAATCTATGCACAAATAACGAAGTTATCGTGCTTTAAAAGTGCCTATTTTTACCTGTTTTGAAAATCCAATCAAGCGAAAATAGAAATGATCGATAACGAGGCTCCACTAGCGTGACGTCACAACATGTACCCCATAAGCGGGTCAGTATTAACGACAATGAGATTAACTTGGAAAACAACGACGATTTTAGCTTTGATATGAGGCATTGATCTATAAGTTTTAGAAATTCAGAAGGAATAATTATTGAGCTTTGCATCAGACCTTACTAGGCTGAACCAGAAACCGATTCTAACGAGGAATTTAGATTTCAAAACAGCCTACAGCCAGGGTCGAGTAAACTACAATTTATCTCCCTGTTACAGCCTACTGAATATGACTGGGGAAAAAAATCATCAAAACCAAAATACAGGAATTTTCAATTTTATATTTTCAATATCCTAAAACAGTTCGTTCATCAAGCTGTTAACTATTTCCACAAGATGTTCATAACTATCGGCTTAAGGAGGGATTCTTGTCTGGTTTCTGACTAGATGAAATAGTCGAAGTATATTTGCTTATATGTTTTATATATTTAGATGTAAGAGATTTAAAAGATCATATTTTTCTTTCCTCATCACAATTGTACAACTTTAAATAGAAATGGTAAACTGAGTTTGAAATCTAGCAGGGACTATATTTTTGGCGGAATGGTGGCGTAGGAAAATATCTTCTTTTCTGCCTCTTAAAATAATTATATAACAGTGAATTTAGTTATAATTTTTACACAATCAAAGACTTGGAGAAAATTTTTGAATGTAAGTTAAATTAATAATAAGGGACTAAAGTTTTAAAATATATCAAATAAATATGATTTTCCAAACAAACTACAATTATGTTAGCTTTTAAAAGCTTCCAATCTAAGTTCAGATTTAAGCCAAA